CTGCCTCGGAAACCCAAGGAGGGGTCGCTATGAGTCAGGGCTGACTCGACGGCGCATAACAACAACAACAACAAATATATATATATATATATATGTTCATCATTTGATCATATATAGAAAAGTATGCTGAGCTCCGCTTTAGATTAAGGAGCTTTGGTGGCACAGTGTGTAAGGCATTTGACTGCTAACCAAATCCACCAGCTAATCCATGGAAGGATCCATGAGGCAATCTACTTCCATAAAGATTTACAGCCTTGGAAACCCAATGGGGGTCGCTATGGGTCAGAATCTACTCAATGGCAGTGGGTTTTTTGGGGGGTTCAAATTGAGTCGTACTTTGGACCTTGGGCAAGTCCCTTATTGTCTCTGAGCCTCATCTCAGCACCTGTGCATATTGACAGGCTGTTTTCAGGCTTTTATACATTAATGTCTATGGAAGGACTCAGCATCAGGAGCTGTACATTGTTTAACTGACTGGAGCAAGGGGGCCAGGCATCAATAACTTGTTTGGTCGCTATGTTCTTGGATTGGCAGGATGCAGGCTGCAGGGCAAGATAAAACTATCTTCTTCCTGTGAAAGATAATTCACAAACTTATGGCTTTCTCTCTCTCTCTCTTTTTTTTTTTTTTTTTTTAAACTATTTTTTCAGATACTGGCTAACCAACAAAGTCCATATCAAACGACCCACCACTGGCCTCTTGATGTATACCCTGGCTACACGTTTCTGCAACCAGATCTATCTCTACGGCTTCTGGCCCTTTCCTCTGGATCAGAACCAGAATCCTGTCAAGTACCACTATTATGACAGCCTTAAGTATGGCTACACATCCCAGGCCAGCCCCCACACCATGCCCTTGGAGTTCAAGGCCCTCAAGAGCTTGCATGAGCAGGGGGCTTTGAAACTGACTGTCGGCCAGTGTGATGGGGCCACGTAAGGTGAGAGCCCCGTGGGATTCAGTGGCTCACATTTCCTGCCAGCTACACCACAGGCAGATGGGAGTCAGGGCAGCAAATACAATAGAACAAGCAGGCTAGTGGTTTTCTTTGTTAAAGTGTAAACAGTGACCAGAATATATATATATATATCTACCTGCATATATATATTGACCTGAGTATTTATAACTGTGTGGTGTTCATCTAGCGTTAGGCAGATAAGCCACAGGAAGAAAGTGTGGAGAACCCATCTGAACTGGACTGAGACTCAGTCCATCTTTGGGGGTGGAAGGACTTGACATAAAAGAAACCAGTCTCATGACTTTGGATGACAAACTGCCTCTTGGGTTGGAGGATCCTTGGGCTAATGGATGAATGGAGAGCCACTTGTAAGCTGCCCTGAGGCTCTGGGATATGTGGATTCTGGATGAGCCAAGACCTATAGGGGACAACTTGACCCAGTCTAAAATGGTGCTGTTCACAGAGGAGAGGGAGATTGGAGAGTTTAACCAGGCAAAGGAGCACAAGAAAACCAAGAAGCAGAGCCATGCCAGTGCAGAGGGCCTTGTTCCATGAACTTAGAGTTAGACTGCCCAAGGAACAAGCCGACCCACATGTTCTAGACTGGCCTCAGATCTATGGAATGAAATCTAAAGAAAACACAATGGACAATTCATATTCTGGCTTAGCAAGGACCACAAAGATTCTTGGATGGAGCAGGGTGATGATACTCAGCCGGAGTGTTCAAATTGTGTTTCTGAACAGTAGAGACCATCTGCTAGAGGTTGGCAACCCATCCCAGAGTAAAGTGGTTGTGTGGGATGTTCTTTAAAGCACTTGAGTCAGTAGAAGAGGAGGAGACCCTGGGATGTCACTCTAGGGGTTAGCCTCCCTCTGCCTTGTTAAATGTCATATGAGGGGTAGTACTGTCCCCTTCTGCCACCGGTGAAGCCACAGCAAAAGCTTGAAAGGGCACTATCAAGATAAATGTCATCCTTTCTAAAATATATATGATTGCCTTTCTGGGTGCCTCACAAAGCCCCAGAGCTAATGGAGACTTAAAAGAATGTGAAGCATCCAAGGCCATTTCACTGCAGCTACCCTTTGTTTGCTTTCTACATCATACACTCTGCAGGGCCCCTGCAGCCAGACTGCTGTGTCAATGTCACTTTCTTGTCACTTTCCTACCTGATGGTCACACTAACCAGCAGTGAGCTCCAACCTAGAGGTCTTCAACTCTTCAGGGAGACGTTCAAATCCTCACCCCCACGGTACCCTCCCCAATCTCCCCACAGATGCAATTATTATAAAATTTTACAAAATCTATTTTCCCCTATTAAGAATTAAGATTCATCTTTACAACTTTTTATTTTTTCTCTTTTTCTTAATTCAAAGCCAAATGCAATATCCAAATACTGGACACAACCTCCTGGGGAAAATCTGGGCTTAATGCCAATAACTTAGGGGATGGAGTCACAGGTCAGTCACATCAGAGAGAAAAACTAGCCAGCCAGATTTGTTAGATGTATCACCTTGCCTGATAAATAACAATGTTTTAAAACATACTGGAAAGATAAATAAAAAACCCTTACCTTGAAGGTGAAGGGAGTTAAGAAAAGTAATCAAGATCTGCTTCTAAGCATATGAGACTGGATATAATTAATCAATGGCAATTCAGAACAGGACATTTGCTCTAAACTAATAGCTGATGGGAAGTGAGTGGAGCCGGTAGAAGAATACCCAGAACCATTAACCCCACACCCAAATGCTCCCAACCACAACAGTGATTACCACAAGACATCTCCAGCTTTTTTTCATTGTGGCTCTTTTTGCTTGAAGTCTGAGGTTTGGGATTTGCATTATAAAATGAACATTTAAAACAGCAACAGCCCTAACAGCCTCTGTGGGAACTGAATGGTCTGGACTTCTCCTGAGAAATAGAAATAATTACTATCATATTTTACACTTCTCCAGGGCCTTTCATCTTGAGGATCTCAAAGGCCTTAGAAGACATTTAATTTCTGAAGCTTACAGTGCCTGGGGAACAAGTAGAATTGTCAGAACAGAGCCACAGTGGATGAGCCTAGGCACAGACATTGAGGCCCTGAATTCCAGAACTTTCCATGGTGAGTCTGAGAAGAGCACAGATGTCAGATCATAGAGTTGGCCCTATGCTCCATCTGTCAGGCCCACACTCCCTTCATACAAGAGAGTTTAAAGGGCCAGAACTCTTTGGAAAACATGCTTTTCTTTCTTAATCTTCTATTCCTTCTTCTTTTCCTGTCTTAATCTTCATTTCTGAAACTGAAGAGAGTTAAAGTGGAAGGAGCTCTTACAACCTGCCTCTGGGTTCTCTCTGAAGAAGGGCTGGAGACCCAGAACCATGAACATGTGCCACATTCCCCAATTTAGCAAGTCCTGTGTGGCTAAATGCTTTGGTTGCCTGTGGCAGGAGTTCCAAGGCCTTTGGCTTTCCCCCCATTCTTTGTCCTTCTTCATCTGGGCAAACACAGGAGGCCAACTGGCCTTCCCCAGTTATTTAGAACTCAATCTGAGTGGCATAGGCCAGCTAGCTTTGGGTGGCCCCAAGGAGTCACAACCTGTTCCCATCACCCCGATCTGTTGCCTCATAGTTACAGAGGTCTCGGGCATTCCATGAGAAGGAGTCAAGTTAGACTTAGCTGGGAACTCCCCACTGCTGAGCAACCATTTTAGTCACCTCTTCTTGGCCATCAATCAAATCCCCAATACCCTTCACCATCACCCACCCTGAAGCCCCTAGACATTCTCCATTTTCTCCATTTCCCCCTGAATGTCCCTACTTTTAACCTCTTCCTTCTCTGAAGTGATGGAGCCATCCGAAATAAGATTGTCCCTCAAAATCTCTTGATCTTTTCCTTCCCATTTCATGTCCTCTCCCATATCTGAGAAAGCAACATCTTACTCTTGCCAATTACATTTTCTCTTATACCCTCAGTCACTCCCTCTGCTGCCTTTGTATTTTCTACCCATGCTCATATACTCATTCTAGCCATCTTGAGTCATGCAGGGCCTCACCTTCCCTTCACCCCAGGACCTGCAAAGGGGTTTCTGGCACTTACTCCTGCTTTTTCTCCTGACTACTGCTTGTCAGTTCCTTCTTCCCAGGCTTCATCACCTGGTCAGAGCCCCAGCACCCTCCATATGATCACATCAAAAGTCCCCTTCTCACCATGAAGCTCTCTGCATTGCTTGGCTCCGTACTGACTACTGCTGGATACTTCCTGCTCCCTTGGATGACATGTCCTCATGGTTTTTCTCCTCCTTTCCTAACCCCTCTTCATCATTTATTTATATATTTATTTATTTATATATTTATGATTTATTTATTGACATCTGTTATGGATTGAATTGTGTGTGTCCCCCCCAAAAAAAAAATGTGTGTGTGTGTGTTGTAATTCTTAACTTCTATGCCTATGGTTATAATTTCATTTGGGAATTGGTTGTTGTTGTTGTTGTTGTTATGTGCCGTCGAGTCGGCCCCGACTCATAGCGACCCCTCCTTGGGTTTCCGAGGCAGTATCACTACGGAAGTAGGATTGCCCAACCTTCTCTGTTATATTAATGAGGCAGGATTAGTGTAGGGTGTATCTTGAGTCAATCTCTTTTCAGATATAAAAGAGATTAAACAAACAAGCAAGTTAGCAGAGGTAGAGGAAGAGTGATACCAAGCCACATGAAGATTGCCCAGGAGCAGAAATTCAGAAGAGAAAAGGACCTTCCTCCAGAGCTGACAGAAAGAGAAAGGCTTCTTCTAGAGCCAGTACCCTGAATTTGGGATTCTGGCCTCCTAAACTGTGAGAAAATTAATTCTGTTTGTTAAAGCCACCCATTTATGATATTTCTTTTATTGGAGCCCTAGATAACTAAGACAGAATTAGTACTGGAAAAGTGGAGCGCTGCTCTAACAAATGCCTAAAATGTGGAAGCAGTTTTGGAATTGGAAGAGTTTTAAGGTGCCTAATAGTAAAAGCCTAGATTTCTCTGAAAAGACTGTAGAATTATGGAAGTAGAATTATGGATGTCAAAGGCAATTCTGGTGAGGGTTCAGAAGGAAGTGAGGAGGGCTATATAATCTCTATCATCTTAGAGAATACACAGGGCATCAGCAACAGAGTGTTGCTAGAAATGTGGACATTAAATGTACTCCTCACCAGAGGCTTTCAAAGAAAATGATAAACATGGCATTGGACAACAGAGGAAGGGTGATGCTTTTTATGCAGTGTCAGTCAAAGAACTTGTCTGAATTATGTTCAAATATTTGGTGGAAGTTATGTCATCACTTATATAACTTATTAGATATTTGGCTGAGGAGATTTCTAAGCAAGTTCTTAAAGGGTCCACATGGTTTCTCCTTACTGCTTTTAGGAAAATAAGAGAGATGGACTTAAAAATTAACTATGAGAAATGAAAACAGAACTTAAAGATTTGGGAAGTTCTGTTGTACAAACTAAGGACATATGTCCTAGAATTTTCACCAAGGACATGGCTACACAATCTTTTGTTAAAGAGATTAAAACTGTGACTGATGGATGATCTAACCTACTACTACCACAACAGAAAACTCATCGATTTAAACTGAAGGGGACACAGAAAGAGCAAAAAGAAAGAATACTGTCTGCCTCTTGGAATTCTACAGGCAAGAAACAGGCAAAAGGAGCTTCTGTTGTCCTCCAAGAAAAGAAAAGAACCATTCCTGGAGGAGCTTGGAGATCAGCAGAACTGTTGGAAGGAGCATGGGAAGCAAAGCCACCTTAGTCTAAAAGGGTGGGGCTGCAACCTTTGGGGTCTCAAAAGGTAGAACCACAGCCTCCTTGGTTTCAAAGAGTCAGATCTTTACCAACTCAATTGCAGAGTGTGGGGCTGCCATTCAGTTAGGCCAAGCAGATGGCACCACTGCCCAAAGCTGAAAGGGCAGGGCTGCCATGCCCAAGGGGCAGAATGGGGCCACCCAAGACCAAGA